GAACACCGGTTGGCTCGAGTCTTGGATGATTTTCGAAGAAAAACTTGATTTTCTCGCACGATTTTAGACCTGACACTTATACAAATTCAATTTATATAATCTAAGTTATTTTCAACCCTTACAAGTTTGACAAAATAAATAAAATCCGAAATCTTATTGAACGGGATTTGACTTTCATTGACTGAAAAAGGTTCGGGTTGTCACATGGTTTCGAATTGAGTCACGATTTTTGGATGTATAACTTAAATAGTATTTAAGTTTGGTTTATACTAAACGTAGTGTTACAAGGTTACACAAAGAAGTTATCTTGTACAATATAGAAATCTTAGCCCTAACTTGTGGGTTGTGACATGTGAAGTATTTGTCTTGATAAAATTCCACACTAACTCTTGAATATTTGTTTGTCAAGGAATGGTTCTTGACAAGAGAATCTTATATGTCAAGAAGTCAGTGGGAGCCTTAATGGTCTTGAAAAGTTTCAAGAACTAATCAAGAATAAACCTATTGTTTATCACTAGCACACGACTTGAGGTTTGTAACCTATCGTGTTGATATATTCTTGTTTCTATGCCCATTCCAGTTAAAGTTGACTATACATGTGAGTTCTATGAGTTCTCAATTGATTGCATAAGGCAAAACACCTTGATCAGTGAAAGTTTATTGATCAGTAAGGGTGATCTGCTCAACAATTTGGAAGACATGGTAGGCCCTTGTGCTGCCAAGTGGCAAGAAATTAAGATTGCACAAGTTCAGTCCATATGAGTTTAAATCTTTCGTAGACCTTATCTAATGATAATGGTTGGAAATGAAAATTTCACATGGATAGGAACACATACACCATAAAATCTAAGTGTCATAAGGTTTCTCTCCAACTCATGAAAATGATTGTGAGGAAACACTTTCACTAAGTAGATTTTAAGGAGATAGCAGTTGTGTTAATTGCGTTCTCAAATTCGATTATGATTGCGACATCCCTCTTCATAGTTCGAATTGTGAGGAATGGCAAATAGTCTGAACATTCGGGACTTATCGCTGTAAGTTCTGAAATTGTTTAGACACGCATATGAGATTTCTAATGAAAAGTGTATGAGCTTAGATAAAGGCTTATCGAAGCATCTCATATCGAAAATCTGAACTTTGGTAAGAAGGTCAATAAGTATTGATTTCTAGAAGTCCAACTGATTTCTGGGTACATGTCAAAGCTAGTGGGAACATAAGTGTTATGCTAGTAAGAATATAATTATCATGATAGTGGGAGCATGATTATTATACTAAGTATTGCGAGTCAGCAATTCTGTTTATAGGAAACAAAGTTTTAATTTGCAAAGTTGCAAAGGTTGAAAGGTTGTTTCGCTATAGTAAGGGAGAGGATACTTATACTTTATTTCGAATCTAAAAGTTCAAATTGAAGTATTAATCAAACTTAGTCATGGATGTATATGAATACCATGTTGAAATATTTCAACATTGAAAATTCTATATAAGGAAATATTATAGCAAAAGACTGTCAAAGTATCATGTCTTTATGTAAGACATTATGAATCGTGTCCCATATGCTTCAGATATAGGATCGATTGCATATGCTATAATATTCACGTGTTCTAATTTTCCAAATGCCTAGGGCATTAAGAGGGAAAAAGGACTAGAACAGGATATGACTAAAGTGGTTAAAAAATGTCAAGGACAATCCAAGGTTCGCTAAGGATTGGTTGCTTAAGGACAGTTGGAAGTATAGTAATGGATGGACCATATTGACATTATTATGAATAGACAGAATTCTATTAATAATGCATTGTCATATGGAAAATATGGAAATGTTTTCATAATGGGAGTTGAGTATTAAGAATATATGTGTAGGTTAGAAACTTTAATGAAAGAAGGATGTTCAAAGGATTGTACTTTGAATGTGAGACTTCGTATCTGTGGAATTGTCTTGTGACAATTTCAGTGTTTATAGTACTCTTGTAATAAGATTTGAGTATTAGACTAAACCCACGCTCACCTAATCAATTCATGGATTTTATCACGAATGATTGTGAGACGATAATATATTATATTCTTGAAACGGAGACATATAGTTGCAGTTTACAAGTCGGTTGCACATTGATGATATGTAAACGCACCAGCAACTTGGTGTTATAAAACATATTGTTGTGTGTGATTTGATGAGTAAATAGAGCAAGAATATGAGTCGAAGTTTATCCATTCCTTTTACCCAATGTGGGATAAAAGCGATATATGTGGGCCCCTCGATGATTTAGTGATGACAAACCTAAGCATTTGCCCAAGCCTGGACTGATTTGATTTGTTCAATTAGTTAGTCGTCATAAATTGGAAATCGAGAAACAACACATGAACAGAGAGAATGATTATAATCCATGTCTCAGTTCATACGACATCTTGTAGAATGGAGGAATATATGATCACTTATCTAATGGACGCGTCAGAGTTCGACAACGACTTTTTGAGAGCTACGATTGCTGGTCGGTTTTCAAGTCGTACTTGCAGTTATAGTTATTAGACTTATCCAAGTGGGAGACTGTTGGATTAGGTATCTAAGCCCATAACTATAATTGGTATGTACTTGACCCGAGAGTAGCATGGTCCATTTTGGGTTGCATTCACCAGAACAATTTGATAGGATGGATATTTGAGAAAGAGGTTATTTGTGATTTATTAATATATTATAAGTATAATATATTAATTGAGAAATCATATTATTTAATTAGTATTGATCAAGAATTAATTTGGAAATTAATTTAGTGATCAAAAGAGACTAATTAAATTAACGGGGACTGATTATGTAAATCAGTGATACATATAGTTTGGGCTATTGATCCATGATGGGCTAAGTTTATGTGAGAGTCCATGAAGAGTTAGTCCATATGAGTTGTTGGATCATAAGCCTAAGTGTATGGATTAGGGTTAACAAGTGACCCTTGGAATCCTACACTATATATATGTAACCCCTTAGCCAAAATCGGTTGACACAAGTGTTACAACAAGAGTATAGCTGATTTTGGTGTGCCTAACCTCTCTCTCAAGTCCTCCAATTGTTCATGGTGTTTTGTGAACCATTTGAGGCATCACACTTGGGGTGCTAAGCTCTTGAAAGGACAAAACTCTACAAGATACAACAAAGAGGTAATTATCTAACTTGTTTTTATGTTTCAAATATCAAAATTGTATGTTAGTTGTAGGCATCATGCTTTGAATAATTTTGATTGCATGTATAACTAGAGAAAACTTAGATCCAAAGCATTAGGGTTGTATGTGCACCATAGGGATGTTAGAGTACATAAAACCCAGCACATAGGTCTTTATGTTCGTGATCCCATATGCTATGTGAGCAGGTTTAGATTGAGAGGATTCTTCATCGGGTATGATGAAGAAAATGGTATAGTCGACAAAGATATGTGAAGAAAAGAAGGGAGGCAGGAACTGAGGAAGGAAAATGAATGGAACATCGACAAAGAGAGAGGGTAGGACGGCTAGGGTTTAGCTCTGATACCATGCAGAATAATGTATTTCCCATATCTAACAAAGTGTTACACAAGCGTACATGTACATGAGATGTGGGCCGATTACATAACAAGGCTAATACAAAGAATACAAATACAAATGGGCTAAATACACAATACAGTACATACATATATATCCTCTAACAAAAAGGACCATGTTATTATCAGAAATATTATCAATAGTTAATGACATTAGACACTTATTCCAAATTTATACATTCTATGTTCAACAAATGACCTAATTTGAATACATTTCAAAATATAAAGTGCTAGGCTTGGAAGTCCTAGTGAATATACCCGAGGTCAACTCGTATACGAATTGGGTGAGGTCAACAACCCAAATTCCAATGTCAAAATACCCACAAAAGTTTCAAATCATATTAAAGTTCCACATGTTACAACATTTCAAGATAATACATCACAAAAGTAATCATTTTCCAATTTCAGTAACTTTCAAAGAAAAATTCAACAAATTTCATATAATTGATGTATATTCCTTTAATTTCAAAACCTCAATTCAAATTTGAGGTCCAATCTTACAATGATGGTTATAACTAGGGCTTATGCATGGTGGCTCATTATATATAGTACAATTACTATGCACGTTTAATATATAAGTATCATGTATAGTTAGAATAAAGCACAATTTACTCTTTCGATGCTCGTTCAAGTTCAAGCTATGCACCCATGAATCATCACACAATTACCATACAAGGGATATGTATGCTCTTGTATATGTGAGGCATGTCTAGAATGTTGTCACTCTAAATCTAATGCTCTAAAGTTTGATATCCATGAGTGTTACACGAAGTCTTAACCCATTCTAAGTACATACACAAATTCTTGATTAAAATCCATTTAAAAAATAATCAAAGTAATTCCCCACTTGTAAATAAATTGATGATGAAGGGTTTAGGTTGTTTCTAGTAGGTGTTTTTTTTTAATTGTTTGGAGAGTTTGAAGAAGATATTGTCGTGTTTTTTGATAGAAAAATACAATCGAGAGTAATAAAAAAGAGTGTTTTGGTGGCTTGTTTTTATTTTGGAAGAAATATGGTAAAAGTTTGATTTTTTGAAAAAAAACGTCAGAAAAATAAAGAGTGATAGAAAGTGTGGTAAGGGAATGTCGAGTCTAGGGCGTTGTGTGTTGTTTGTTGTTTGCTGTTTGCTAAGCCAAATATGGGGCACAAAAGCCTTTGTCGAGGCCACTCCCTCAGGTCCTAGAAATAAACACATCCTACTATAAAAATAAGGTAAAAGCGTGAAATTATTTGGTTAAGATCGTAAACCTGGACCCAAATTTCCAGCCCTATAAATCAACCTATCCTATGTAGAAATGAAATTTAAATAAATTCATGAACCATTGATTTAAGGATATAACTCCATAATGAATGCTTCAAGAGTTAAATTTTTTTAATACTTCGTAACAATAAAAACTATAAAAATCTATCATGGGACTATTAAGTACCTATATTGATTTGTGTGTTCTATAGAAATCACATTACATTACAAAAAGGTATTATCAAGAAAACGTAAATGATACCCAATAATCACAGAAGTAGCATTAACATCTGTATCTCACGTAAGTTTACAACGAGCAAGCCCAAAGCCAAATACACTAATTAAACTTTATTACATTTCACGTAATATTTTCTTTAAGTATACGATTTTACTTTCTGAGTTTCGAGTTGGGTCACTTTCATCTGGCTCGTGACAACTGTATAGCTTCTTGATCGAGGGTCGAGTCGTCACCCCATGCAAACTGGTGGGACATACGAGAGAATTCTTGAACCCTAACTTCTTCTATTTGTTCCCATTCTGCCCATCGCTCCACCAAATCTTGTCCTCGAAGCATATGAATGACATCTCCCATTTTTGGACGGTTCTCTGGTGAACCTTGGGTGCATAACAAGGCAACTTGAAGCATTGTTTCAACTTCTTTTGCATCATAAATCGTGAGGCTCGGGTCCACAATGTCAGTGATCCTCGTTTCCCTGAGCAGTTTCTTGATCTGAAGTTGCAAGAAGATGAATCAACAAGTAATCTTTACGAATGGGTGTTTTTGTAATTCAACCCGTAGTCGAAAGTAGCAAGAAGATGAATTAATTAACAAGTTCTTCGATCTCACAAACACATCTAGATAGAAAATGGTACTTACATGATCAAGAAGGAGAACATCTTCCTCATCTTCAAGGCGAGAAAGATCCACTGCACGTTGTCCCGTTATAAGTTCCAACAACGTTATACCATATCCAAAAACATCGGTTTTCTCCGAGGATTTTCCCGTGGACAAATACTCGGGAGCAATGTGTCCCATTGTCCCACGTACTTGAGTTGTAATATGAGTGAGATCATTATCTACAAGCTTTGCTAATCCAAAATCCCCAAGAACAGGTTCAAATTCATCATCTAAAAGAATATTTGCAGCTTTCATATCACGATGAATGATCTTTGGAGTACAATGCTCGTGCAAATATTCTAGGCCACGAGCCGTACCGAATGCTATACGTTTTCGTGTTGCCCAATCCAAGGGTTTCTCTCCCGGTTTCAAATCTATTGTTGATAAAAAAAAATTCCCATGTTAAATGCAAGAAATAACAATTTAGTATCCTACTTTCATTTCTTCGGGTTACAAAATTGCATTTTGAAAATTCTACCCAATTACACCAATGTTATATAGATACAAATCATTTTTGCCTAATCAGGTAGATTTTTCAAAGTATATTCTCACAACTAGAAATAAAGCGAAACTAGGCATTTTTTTTGCAAAGAATAATGTCTTACTAAGAAAATAATTTTTTAATACGATGCGCTGATAGGATGAAATAAAAGTAGGGTTCTATAATACAGAAATAAATGAAAGCACATTTCTATTTCTTGTCCTATTGACATAAGTATCAGTACAACTTCAATGCATGCCAAACACAGTACAAGAACGCCTAAAAGTAAACAATCCACATACCTCGTAAGTGATATGCAACGCTTAGATTTTGCATAAACGGATAAATAAGTACTCTTTCATACGATGTTGTAGAAAACCCTATCAACTTAAGAAGATTGCGATGAACCGCAACACTTATCAACTGAATTTCCCTCAAGAATGCCGCCTCGCCACCTGGACTCTGATAATCTGCGAGTCTTTTAATCGCAACTTTTGTGTTATCTGCAATAACACCCCTATAAACTTTCCCAAAACCTCCCCTACCTATGATATTACTTTCATTGAAGTTGTTGGTTGCCAGCTGTACTTCCCGCCATGAAAATCTTTTAAGTTGCCCATATGAAACTAAACTGTCATCTTCACCTGTAATATGAGCAATGTATTTTATTTGTTACATATTGCTATTATTGGTAAAATAATGTAACTACACTGAAATATGAGTGATATGATATGAGAGGAAGCAACCTTCTACATCAATGAATAAGTCACGTTCAAGTTTGGACATAAGCTTGAATCGGTATAAAAAGATGGCTCCGAACAATAAAAGCACGAGGGCAGCACAACCAACGCCAAAAGTAACCAACTTTAGTTTTGAATTTTTAGTAGAACCTAAGAAAAATTTAAAAATCGATTCGAGTCATAACTCATAATAGATATAAAACTTCAAAAGGGAAAATAAGTTATAATGAAGAAAACAAACCTGAAACAGAGGAACCTGAAATGCAAGGTTGGGGAAACGTGGTACCACAATCGAGAGATGTTCCTGTAAAGCTGAATAACACGATGATTAATATGCACTTTAACTGATTTGAGTATTATTGCATCCTACTTTTATATATTCCTATTACATCTTTACTTTGAAAATCTACCCAATTATAGCATTGAATACAAATAGAAAGAGATTTTCAAAGCTATATCCGCATAACATTTTCAAGGTATATTGTCCTGTTAAGAAAAAGAAATCGAAAGTACTAGGCGATATTCGGGTAGACTTTATGTTTCATAAATAGTTTGACTGGTAAATGTCTAAAATACCCTTCAAATGGCGGGGTCAATGAGGGGCTCAATTTTGTATTTAGTTGAGGCGATAGAAAATTTTTAGTATAAAATCATAAATTTAAATAAAAAATATATTTCATACTTGAATACACGAGTGGAGAATAACTTTTCAGGGATTTTTCCACTTAGATTGTTGGCTGAAAGATCCCTGCAAAATGAAAATATAATTCTTAAAAAGCAATAGCAATAATAAATCAAACATGCATCTTATCAAACTCTCAAGAAACATTGATATGTTTGCATTGAAGTCAAAAGGAAGGAAGAAAATCTTACAAATATTTTAGGTTAGAGAGTTGACTCCAAGAGGCTGGAATAGATCCACTAAACTTATTTCGTGTAAGATTAAGATTTTGTAAGTTCACCAAGCTACTCAGATCGGGCAACTCTCCTGATAACTTATTATCATGTAAATCCCTGCATAAAAATGTGAAGAAAATCGGAGTTATTTTGTTATGAATATGATTTTCTAATATAACAAACAAAAATGTACTATAAGGTCATTGGAGTTGATTTTAACATATATTAAAGAAGAATTGGCAATTATATAAATTACCTTCACACGTCAAAGGAGCCTTTTGCATAAAAGATTAAAATTTTAACGAACTTATATAGCTTTGGTTATGTAAGTAAATCACCATAAGATGGGTACTAATCTAATCTATCAAGAAAAAAAGTCAATATTTTGGCTTTAGAGAGTCAAACCTTGTGACTTTAAAACTAAAAGTTGGCATTCGTTTCCGAGGTTTTATTAAATGTTTTTAATTCAAAAATCTTAAATATATTTGAATGTAGTATTATTTAAGTCAATTTTTCACCAAATACTAAATGTAATACACATAAGGCATTGAAAGTCTGTAAATCAACTCAAGTTGGTTATAATTTACTTTATCCAAAAAAAGTCAACCGTTTTAACTTTAGAGGGTCAAACTATGTGAGTTAAAATTGAAGTATTGCCTAGGTTTTTCTCATGTCATCTCCAAATGTCTCTAACTTGACTACTTTTTATCCATTCTAAATGTAAATGTCAAGCTTTTCAATTTGCTAAAAGCATTTTTTTAACAAATTTAAAGTTAAAGAGCAAATTATTTGACACGTAGAAAGTTAAACATTGACTTCCTTTTGATGAGTGTAGTAGCATTTAAAAATTCATTTTTTTCACCAAACTTAATACACATTGGTAGTCAATAAGAGTTTTAATCGAGTATGACACTTACAAGTAAGTCAAAAACTTCAGTTTGGTTATCGAACTTGAAAGTTTCCCAGAAAATCCAATTGAACCCAAGCTCCTGCATATTAATGCGTAAAAAAAGATAGTTATATTTATTAGTAAACTATGTCACCATTTTTTGTACAATAGGGTAAACATTACAATTTTTTGTCCCACCCAAAAAAGGCAAAATGGGACAGGACTCACTCTCCTCTTTGCAAAAGACATAAATGTCCTTCACATTCTCATAATAAAAAAAAATAGCCCTAAAAAGCTTGTCCAATTTCATAAAGAAGTAACCATTGAGGAAAAACACCAACAAACGTACAAGGATATGACATTTCCATCTTTCTGATCACATATGACATGTGACCAACTATAGCACGGGCTAACTACAGAGTAACTCCAATCTTGAATGTTCCCATTGGTATCCTTTAGATCCTCTAGAAGCTCCATTAAAATTTCCACTGAGAAAAAAAAAAACGTCATACAATCTAAATATCATAAACGTACTTTCATTTGTTTGTGCATTATAGAGTCAAATTTTCATTTCTTTTAATTACAACATTGTACTTCCGGTTTTTGTCTTATCAAGGCATCATATTTTAAAAAGTTCACCCAATTAAAGTAGAAAAAATTGCTTTGTATTTGAAAGACAATATTATGATTAGGTAGATTTTTCAAATTACAATGTAATACAAAGAAACAAAAGTAGAATGGTATAATAATCAAATCAAAAAAACGTAAGGAATTTAAACATGTTAATAATGCACCTTCAACATTGGGCTTGTAGTCAGAAGAACAATGGCTCAACAACAAAAGCAGAATAATGCATTGAACCAACAACTTCATATGGAGATGCCAATTGTAACATGGTCCATATAAGTGAATTGATTTAATGTCCAAATGATGGTCTTCTAAGAACCCTTTGCATTTCCTCGATGAATCTGTAAATTAACACATTCAAGCTAACACGCCAATATTTTACTAAATGCAAGAAACACCAATGTACTTTCATTTATTTGTTTACTCCTACTTCTATTTCTTGCTATTACAATATTTTACTTTTATTTTTTTTTCTTGTTAAGGCAATTTACTTGGAAAAGTTTTACCCAATTACATCATGCTTTCGTTTTTCTCTATTACATTTTTGTTTCTTTTTTTTTTCTTATTAAAGGCATTGTACACTGAAAAGTCTACCGAATTATAGCATTCTACTTCGGTGCTTCCAATTTTCTTCTTATGAGAATATTGTACTTTGAAAAATCTTTACCTAATTATAGCAATAAAAATTCCTTGTATTTGGATGAGATTGCCATAATTGTTTAGATGATTTAGAGTACAATGTTTTATTCCGACAAAATGAAAGTAAATGCTAGAATGAAAAGAATATATGAAAGTACGTTTCTGTTTTTTGACATTTAACTCTTTTCAAAGTTTAAAAAATCCACCAATTATAGGAAAGAAAAATTATTTGTATGTGGATGACATTTCTTAATTTGTTATATCTACATTTCACAGATAGTAAGTTTCAAAATTTATAGCATTTAAGACCCATTTTTACATCTCTAAGCAAGTTCTGCAGCAGTTGAGACATTTGACTTTTGAGTTAAAAAAAAAAAAGTAAAAAATTAACGATATTTTTTTTTATTATATTCGATAAGCAAGATTATCACTTGCTTAAAACACCAATTGATTGACTAGATCAAGCAGGGTTTACCTTCTCCATAAAATCAAGAACCCTCTTTGACATCTCTGCAAAATCTTGATTTTCTCACCAATTTTTGTAGTTGATTAAAAATTTAAATATTAAATCATAAAAGAAGCCTTGGTGCACCAAATTTTGCCTATGTTGGGCTGACAAGAATTTTCTTTTTCCTAGGACAAAACAACATTGGAAGTACACCTTTTCTTTAAAAAAAAAACATCTGGAATTGTTAAGAATTAAGTACAGATTATTAAATGGAACTCAAGAATTGTTAAGAATTAAGGATATATTATTTAATGGAACTCTCAGGTATTGAGTTCCAACTACCGCAATAAGACCAAACATGAAAACCCCACAAAATAATAAGAGCAAATAAACACAATTAAAACAATTTGTTAACAAAAAGAACATAGGAAACACAAACACAGACAAAAAGGGTGTTGTGTGTGAAATGTTTTAAAGCAAATAAAAGCTTACTTTGGTGTAGCCATGGATGTTGGAGAAGAGGGAGAATCAAGAAACAGATGAAATTATTAATAATAATCACACGAATCATGATTTGAGAGTTTATTGATGTTTGTGATTGATGATGTTTGTGTAAGTGTTGAGGACCCACAGAGCATTAGGTGCAAATAATTGGAATTGGAATGGAATAGGAACTAAAATTAGGGAAGAAATGCCAATTCTAATTCTAATTCTAATTCTAATTCCATTTCCGAAATGTGATTTGATAAGGCAAGTTGAATGTTGAAGAAAGTGTGTGAGAGTGAGAATCCCACTCAACATTAAAACAAAAGCAATCTTTTTGTGAGAAAAATGGATGCTTCTAATTGATATGAGATGCTTTAAAATAGTACAAACTTGCATGTGGAGGATTTTGCATTAAATTTTGTTAAAGAAATATATATTCCTTTTGTATATATATAAGTTGAAATGATTTTATACAGAAATGTTGGTTAAGGAAATTATTATTTTTTGTTTCTCAAGGAAATCTTGATCAATGACCCTAACAATAATGTTGAAGAGATATAAAGAAAAAAAAAGAAAAAGGTAAACGAAAATATCACTTTCTCTTTCTAAAAGAAGAAATAATGATAAAAATTTTTTAAAAAAAATCAGACAATGCTTTTAGTGAAAAATATTTATTTGTAATATCTAAGTTATATATAATTGAAAAGTGTTAATTATTAAACTAATATTTAACACGTCTCTTGATATAAATAGATTAAAAAAAAAAGACATTATAGCCTTGAGATAGGATTATCTCCATTAAATTGAGCTTGTGATTGTCACATTAGAAAGGACTATTTTGGATTTTCGGATATCAAAAGTAATCATACATCATTTAACAAATATAAATAATGTTTAGAAGTAATCATACATCGTTTATGATTTAACAAATCTAAATAATGTTTAAAAAGACACAAATACATTTAAAATTTATAAACTGCGACGTTTAGACGTTCCACACCGAACCATTCCGGGAAATATGTTTAAACATATTTGTACTTATTTATAATGACAGAAAAAAATGAAAAAAAAATATATATATATATATATATATATAGTAATAATGATTTATATTTTATAATTATGTTGTTGTCATTTGTAATGCATGCTACTGCTGCTTTGAATTGTATCCAATTGCAATGAGACAAAAATAAAAAGTCATAGGGGATTGAAATTGGTAGTGGTACAATGTGAAGGGACTAGTTATGTAAATATGACTTTTTAAGATCGTGGCAAATTGTGTGTGAAAAGGAAATGTAAAAGGAAAAGGTGAAGTTGACAAAGATTTGACTCATCAAGGCGTCAACACCAAGTTATTGTCCACTCACTTGTTTACCCCACCTTCTAGATTATTATACCTCACAAGATAAGTCATTTATACATGAGTTAATCTCTTAAATTACTTTATTTACCAAAACTAATTATACTTCACGGATAAGCAATCCATATCAATTAATCTATCGACACATAAACTCAATTTCATTTATCTATGAAATCAACATTCCTGGATTTCCACAATCGTTTTAGTTTCCGTTTTAGTTCATTTTTATGCTTTCTTTCTATTTTGTTTTAATTAGTTAATGACCCGAGCATCCACATCTCAAGTAGTATCTCTATTTGACGAGCCCGAGCATGAATTCCATATAAAGAGCAAATCAAGCAACTCATAAACCAATTATGAAGAAGGAAGCGAATCCACAAAAAAGATGACGAACACCACGAATCTTACATTATAGGAGTACACAATCCATACTAGAGAAGGCACCGGTCCAGGCCCCATACGATCGACAATCCCAACAACGACAAATTTTGAGCTTAAAGGGCACTTCTTGCAATTATTAAAAGAGACTCCACTTTTCGGAAAGGACCAAAAAGATAACCACAAGCATATAGAACAAGTGATCGAGATCGCTAATTACTCGAACATTCGGGGGTAATAAAATATGTGGTAATGATACGTGTTTTTCCGATCATATTCAAAGATGCGGAAAAGATATGGGTTAAATTGCTACCTTTGTTATCAATCACCATATGGGACGACCTCAAATCAAAGTTCATCCAACGATTCAACCCTCCATCGGAGATTGCCAAATTAAAAATGAAGATTCAAAACTTCCAAAAGTTTGATGAAGAAACATTATATGAGGCATATGATCGATATAAGGAAATACTCTAAATTGCCCTCAACACAATCTCAACGCTCACCAAAGTGGTACAAAATTTCTACAATGGTATAAATGTGCATACTTGACAATTAGTGGATTACTAGTGGCCTTTTACAAAGAAAAATCCCTCGGATGACAAAGTCATCATAGAAGAGCTTGCACGTCATTTGCATCAATAGTATTCACCGTGAAAAGCATATTTTGAGAAAAATCAACTAGAGATAATGTTGATGGTTTAGCTGCTTTCAGCGCCAAAATCGACAACTTGGGTCGAGACATGAAGTAAAGGAACGAGACAATTCATGCTATACAAGTGGGTTGTAACAATTGTAGCAAGCCTCATCTAATAAATGATTGTGATTTGGATGAGAACGATAATAAAATGCCCATGTGTGTTATTCGTCCTATGATAAGTACGATATGGATTGGAGGCAAAAGATGGTGTGGAAGCCATACGAGGAGAATAGAAAAGAGAAGGAAGAAAAATTCTGACAGCAAGGTCAAGGCTTTACCAAAAAGAGCCAAGTATGCAAGAGCATAAGCCAGATTTTGAAGCTATTTTATCTCGTTTCACCAATACATCTGAAAAGCGACATTCTAATACTAAAGTCGCCTTGAGGGATCAACAAGCTTCCATATTGAACATAGAAAATCAATTTGGTCAACTCTCTTGACTAATCCAAGAGCGATTTTTGGGAACGTTTCCATGCAACACGAAATCAAAATCAAAGGCATGTGTAAAAGTTTTCATCACACGAGGGGGTAAGGTTACTGAACCATTGGTATTAATTAATACTAAAAGTTTCTCTAATGTGCAGAAACCAAAAAAATAAGTTGAAAATTCTGAAAAAGGAAATCCCTCTATTTAGCAAACACGTCGCGACAATAAGTTTGACTTGACGCGTCGCAATGAAAGATTTGAGTAAAACCAGGAGTAAAAATGTATCGCCCGCCTATCCCATTTCCACAAATACCTATCCAGATTAGACAAGAAGAGGAACACAAGATGATATACATGGTATGAAAGAGAATTTCCAATAGCGGCCCTAGCTTTTACATCAAGACTGAGCAGTCTTATGTCATCGTCATCATAACTTGTTGCTAGCTTTTGCTTCAGAGGGCCAACGGGAGCGTTGTTTGCCATGGGTTGGTACATAGGAACATGGGGACCCTTTTCAACGATATTTTTCATCTCATAGTCAAGGGTTTCAAGAACCACCATGGCCTTGGTTTTCCACATGGCGACATTGTGTTCATCGAATGGAGGTATTTTATTGAGGCCGAAGGATTTGGAATTGCTTGAATTCGACATGATAACTTGAGTATATCACAAACCTGCTCTGATACCAATTGAAGGTTTGTATTATGATCGGATACACTTTAAGTACGGATGAAACAAAAAATAAATGACACGAGAATTCTCTAAATGTTCCTTTCACTAAGAAAAGAGGTTTTTCCTTCACCAATAAGACAAGGTTTGTCACAAAGACAATTGAAACAAAGCCACGAACACTAGCACTACATTAGGGCTAGCCCTAATGTAGAGAGTGTGTGTATATATATATATATATATATATATATATATATATATATATACACACACACACAAAGCTATACATGTATATCCCTTGATTGACGGGATTGAGTCTAATCTATACTAAGAACCGATGTTATCATAATGATATGGGATCTGATCTATTCTGTATTTATCTATTATAACGGCCTAATATATACAAAATATTACAATAGAACAACTATAAGATGACGTTATTGAACTTGTTAAGTTGGTGTTGGCGTTTTCGATTCGTAGACGCTGACGCTGATGGATCAGCATGTTGTGTGTTTGACTCATCAGATCATAAGGTGTGACCTTATAGTGTCGCCTAATTGTTGTCGTCCTAATACTTAACCAAATTTCCAATCTGGCTCCTGGTAACCAATAACACAATATTTAATAGTTTTAACTCACTTCCAACCGATCACACCATAATTAATCAGCACAATTCAAAAAACGAATAATGAAATCTCATACATTCATAAAAATAACCAAAATACTCCTCTCCCGCCTCAAATTAGCACCTAAGTATTCTGTATTATTTACTACTTACTCATGTTATATGATACTCACAAGTATCATGGAGCGCATTTTCTCCAAAAGGTGTTTTCCAAACTAATAAGTAATTAAAATCACTACTAGAAAAATACTCTTTAATGACACGCATTGCGTGTCATAAAAAGTTATAGATGACACGCAAATGCGTGTCAAGGCCCTGCCATAAAGGAAGACGACACGCTTTTGCGTGTCGTAAACTTACAACGCGAATTTACGACACACATTGTGTGTCAAGGAAGGCCCTATCATAAAGGAAGACGACACGTATTTGTGTGTCCTAACCTTACGACGCGCGTTTAGGACACACATTGTGTATCATTAAAGCCCTGTCATAAATGAAGATGACACTCATTTGTGTGTCATAAACTTCAGCAACCATTTACGATATGCATATACGATGTGCCTTTACAATACTCATTTACTCATAATACAAAAATACAGAAACAAATATATACCAAAACAATCAATTTCATCTAATAACATCATGTCAAAATATTGTAATACATTGATATTAAAGGGATCTGATTGTACATTGTTATTAAGAGGTTTTCCCTAACTATATAACCTAATACTACATTGCTATTAATGGGCACCTTCTTGTTTCAGATATCATGTCAAAAAAATCCTCCATATCATTGGTTTGTCACCTGGTGTACTGGGCCGTTGTCCACCGAGCGTAGATGACAAGTAATGACTTGAACATTAGTTGAAACAAAAAAACTTTTATTAATCACACAATCAAGTTTAACTACTTGATAGAGTTGTTATATAACTATGTTATTAAGTAATTTGATTTGATCAACATAAGATCTAACAAGTTGACTAGCTTTTACCATTTTCTCAAGGTTGACCCCACTTTTTCTAGTAATGGGGAAAACATTCAAGACTTTTGTAAGCAAAATAAGGGCATTTCGATAAACAGATGGAGTGACTCCGCCTTTTTTCGTGAATTAACAAAGTATTTTCCTTCAATTGAAGTCTGGCATGTTAGAAGATAAACTACATGATATGTGATCAATAATATTAGCTATATGACCGAAAGCATTTATAATAGTCTTTCATATATATTTTTTAATTTTTAAAACATTTATAATAATCACAATCATTTTCAATGTTAGATATATGACCAAACATACCCAACATATGATCTGTGATCAATAATATTAGCCAACATGGTTTGTATAAACCCTAAAATTTGAAGTTTAAGACAAACATCATAAATGACCTTTGCAATTACATCCTTGTATGGAAGGAGTTCATCTGGTATATTCAGATGAGCAATGTGACCTGAAAATGAAAAATAAATTCAGCTCAATTCATTCATCCAATACAATTAATTCCAAATAATAGATCCAAGAAATAGCAATTTACTTGTATTTCTTATTAAAGCATTATACTTTCAAATTATTTCTTATTTGGGCATTGTACTTTGAAAAAATCTACCAAATTATAGATGTTAACCTTTTAAATCATTGTTATAATGGGTACACTTTTCAAAGTTGAATGCCCTAATAAGAAATGATTTGAAGTACAATTTGGTAATAAGAAGAAATGAAACTCGATTGCTATTTTTTGCATTTAGCCCTAGGCAAAAAAACGAACCATTATACGAAAAACAGTTTAATACAAAATGAAAAGAACATGATTAATAGAGAAATCAAGTCCAGTAAGGCTAAATAGAAATTTTGAAGACATACAGAAAGAATACTTAACTATTGTTTCAAAAGATGAAGGGACCTCAAGTCCAGAAGGTAGAATCTGCTTCAGCACATGGTCTGTAATAGAACAACACTCATTTAATAGGTATTCAACTATATATATATATATATATATATATATATATATATATATATATATATATATATATCCTATTTATATAAAATATTTAAGCATCATATAAATTTATAATTTTTTGTCATTTGGAATTTACATTTGGAGAGAATGGTAAAATGTTGATTTATTGTTGTTCATACAACACTCTCCAGACAACACTTAATTGAAGAAAAGAACAAGGCTAAACTTACAAGAAAAAGAAGGAAAAAAAACAGTTTTGAGTGTAAATTTCAAGATAAAGTCACCTGCACCCCAGTATGAATATCCAAGTGTCAATGAGTATGGAACTGTTTCAATCTTGCATAGTTTCTTTAACTCATCAAGATTCTTGGTTGGAATATCTGACATATCTGCTCCAAAAAGCCACAATAACAAAATATGAATCTTAATACATATAACAAGAAAAAACTCAAAAGACAATAAAAACTTGCAAGATTATGCAAAAAGAAAGGACAAGATTCTCATTCATTAATGAGATAAATCATATTTAGGGTTGTAGTATGCAAAAGAGGGTGAACCATTTTAGGAGAGCCCATGGGGAGCTGGAAGACCTGGGTGGCATATTGAGTGTAGTGCAATGAGTGCTACTTATTTAGACCTGGATGTCCATCGGGAAATCTCGTGTTGTCTGCATATCCTTTTCAGTGTAGTAGGACAAACTACAAAACAAGAACCGATTTTCATTGTTGTTTATAACATGTTTAGTCTATAATAATGTAGTTATAATGTTAAAAGCTCCCAATCAAATGGTGAAATATTATTAATATTGTTGTTAATTATCTCACAAAAGAAACAAAACATTTCATAGATGGTTATCCATATTTGAATTGTTCTCAAGCAGGGTTTAGTTGGGTTTCGTAAGAAATACTACATTAGGATAATTTAAACGATTTGACATTATATATACAAAGGAAATCTATTTAAACTTGTAATAAATTGGATCCAGAATACAAAACTCCAAACCTATTAACCAAATACATGCTTATATAGTCGAGGAGGTGCAACACTTTTCAGGTTCACACTCTGCAAAGATTAAAAAAACCAGAAGTTATAATTTTACAACAACATAGATTCACAAACTATGCAGAAAATAAGAAATCAAGACCGATTAAATCCTCACCATGAAAATGAAATTGCTCAAAGTTGTTCAGCGTGTCACAAAAGCAACATATGTTACTGGATACACAATGGATTTGTCACCATTGACTCACAGAAAATGTCAAAATCTCTTGGTAACTTTTTCACAATTCGCCAGGTAAAATCATTTCTTTTCAAGGCGGGTTTTCAAAATTCTGGAGATTTCATTTTCCCCCGTTAACAAGAGACGCACATTTCATTAAAATTATAAAGCGACAGACCTTGAGAACGCGTGTTTAAGATAAAGCGCCCTCCGTGCTTTTAATTTTTTCCTTGAGACACGAATTTAAGGGCACACAATAATGCGTGACCTAAATCCTTAAAAGTTTTGGAGAGATGACACTATTTTAAGGTCACTCTCTTTTGCGTAACATAAATCACTATGTGTCGTGGTTTGCATGTCATCAAAGGCATATATTCTAGTAGTGAATGCCTCTATTCGACACAATAAACATCAAAACCGAGCATTTGAATTTGTCCTTTCAAATTAATGTGTTAGCTAAATTATTCACGCTATGAGAGGCTATAAATCCCATAACCAAAATATTTCAACAATTCCATCCATTCATCGGTTATGAAATAACATCTACATTTCTTTTCAACACAAACACTATAGTAGCTAGTTCTAAAATACAAACTATATACACTTTCTCTATCACCTTCATTAATCTCAATACATAAACAATCATTTGCATATTTTGTGTTAAAACACCTCGCGGATCGACCCATAGAGTATCACTATGGATAGAAAATTGTCCCCACCTTCAGGCAACACCAATACTAGGGTTTTTGGCACTGTAGCACAACAATCTTTGGGCAATTTGCACATTTAGTCACTCATGTTTTTTTGTGCTAAATTAGTCCTTAATGTTAGTAAATACTGACTAATTAAGGGAGTGGGAGAAAATGTATTTGGTTTATGGGTCGTTGCTGATGTGTATTGGCTTATGTGGACTACCATTTGACCATGCCATTGTATAAGGTGGAAACCTTCCTTAAATGGAACCCTCATTCTAACCAAATAGGATACATTCTTACCCCAAATTAGGTCACCCCGATACCCTCTACTCAATAGATATAACCAGAGTAATGTATGCATCCTCCGGTCGATCGATCAACCTCCTGCGTGTCATAAACCATCATGATGATGAAGCATGTCCACCTTGTGACTGTAAAGATGGAATAAGCGTCGAAAGGACTGCCTAAATGGACGACAACATAGCTCGAAGGTTTTGGAACTGAAAAAACTCCTTGGTGAGTATTCCTTTTGTTTACTTACACCCTATTTGGTATCATGAGTTGGAAATGTACACATTTTGTAAGTTTTTTCTGAAGGTCCAAAATGTAAGTTTTTCTGTGGAAAGATGATGTAATGGAGGAAGGGTACTACAAACAGCAACTTTGTAAGTTGAGGTTTGAGGTGCGCAAAAAGGAAGACTTTAGTGAAGTTTCAAAGGCTCAAAAGAAAGTGATACAACTGCAGCAAGATATGGAAACAGAGAAGGAAGTGTTTGAGAGATAGTTGATGGGGTTGATGAAGAAAAACACTGTGATGAAGACTTACCTTGGAACTGCTAAGTGTGTAATCTTAGTTTTGTTCATTTTATTCATTGGGATGTGGTTGAAGTGTCCTTGAAGTGTGCCTGATCAAACAAGGTATTTATGGTTAATGGTAAAAATTCCAACCAGTTTTTGGTTAGTGTATGGGTAGATGACCAGGAAAGTAGAAAGTTGATTTGTTTTTAGATGAATTGGTTCAGGGTTAGATCCTAGTTGTTAAATATGGTCAGATTTTTGGAAGAATGCTTGTTTGATATAGTTTTTTATTTGGAATGTATGGTAGATATAGTTGTTGGAAGTTTGGGAACAGTTGTATTGGGATGGAAGTAGATGGGTAATGTTGTATGAACTTTTGTAAATTCAATGAATGGTACGAAAGATCAAAGTTGTTAGTTATATACCTCTATGTACTTAATGATATGCATGTGCTCCTTTTAAAACTGAATTGTAGGAACCACATTGTTGGCCATATGGACCATAGTTGGTCCATTTAAAATTGAATTGATTTTTGTGCAGGGGTCCCTTTTGTGTAAAAAGAAGGAAATAGGGACCACACTTGGTATATAAGGACATAATATGTGTCAATTTAAAATTGGACATATATAGACATATATGTCCTTGCCATGCAGTTTAACCACACAAGTCCTTGACATGCATGCAACTTACAAATAACACAACAAATAACTCAAAATAACAACCAACTTACTTAATACACATTCCACATCGCATAAACCAACATAGTTTCATACAAACAACCATAGTTCACATCAAGTTCCCTTCACATCACATCCAATTTAAAGTACACCAAAAAAACATAATTTCATACTTCATACCAAGTTCATTTCATATAAACCAACATTTTCACTTAATCTAGACTAAGAGCTTTAGATATTGAATTCCTAGGTGCATCTTCATCACCAACTCTCTTGCCGAGCTTCAGCTTGATAATCCTTTCAGATTTCTTCCTTCTGATTTTCTTCAAAAGGGTTGCAATTGGTCTTTCCACAGCCTCCTGTTGTTGCACATGCACCTCACTAGGTTTTCCATTTCCTGATGCATCAATTAGTAAAGGAGTGAGTTCCACCTCATCATAGTCTTGTTGCACAGGAACCTCACTAACATTGACATTGTCTCCACCCTCATTCACTACATCATTGTCTCCACCCTCATTGACTGCTTCTCTACCCTGATTGACCCATATGAAACAATATTAGGAAATAATTTTTTTTGTAAAGACTTAACCATCTAAATACTACTTTACATGTTTTGCAAGGGTACAACCTCTTTTGTTGTGTCCTTTAAGCTTACAAAGACTATATTTTTGTTTCTTTCTAGCCTTGGATACCCTCACCTGTTGTACACATTTGTCTTGTGTTCGGTTACTCTTCTTTTATTTGTTACTTGACTGGGTCTCTGTTGAATCCCTTTTCCTTTTAGTTGCATGTCTCCCAGGCATAGTTCTACGAATAGGAGGTAAAGGTGGGATGTACTCACTTGCAGGCCACAAGTTATTTCCATTCATAGGTGTTAACCAAAACTTGTATGCCTTCATGTAAGTGATGCTACTAAAGCTCTTGTCCACATATGACTCTACATCCCTATTCATATAACTTATAGCTGTAATAGAATGAAAACAAACCATTCCATTACGCTGCCATAGCCTGCGAGAGCAAGTTCTCCTTCAAGATCTACCTCATAAGCATCTTTAGTTCCTTTTACTTCAAACTGATTTAATCCACTAGGTAACACTTGGTAATGTTTTTGGTATTTCTTAATTTCATTCGCTAATTGTCTAATTGTTGGACAACTTCGGTTGTGTTGGGTTATGAGCATTCTAACACTCCTAAGTGTACATGCAACCCTAAATACCTTGGATCTATATTTTCTCTATTATACATACAATTATGAACATCCAAGGTATTATCCTAATCTAGCATACAAAATAATAAATATAACAAGATAGAATACATACCTCTTTGATGTAGAATGTCTTCATGAAGCTTGAGTGCCTAGTGCCCCAAGTGTGACACCTCAAATGGTTCACACAACACCAAATACACTTGGAATAACTTGAGAGAAACTTGAACACTCCTTGAAATCGTCTAGCCCTCACACTCACACATTAGTGCACGATTTCTTGAGCCATGGGATTCTTTTATATGGTGGCTATTAGGGTTACACCATGTAACTCATAACTTTACCCATTCCTTATGCTCCATGGATTTTAACCTCCATGGAGTATCCATGGGTCACCCCATGGACTTAGTCCAACATAAGGAATCTTGGATCACAAGCCCACATATATAAGAATGAATGATTTACACAATCAACCCATATTTAATTAGTCTCCTTTTGATCACTTAATTAATTCCAAATTAATTCTTGATCAATACTAATTAAATAACCTTATTAATATATTAGAACTTATAATATATTAACCAACCTTAAGTGTTATTTCTCTCATTATAGTCTATCCAAATGCATGATGCCATGCAACCCAAATGGACCATGCCGGGTCGGGTCAAGTCTTACCAATTATAGTTATGGACTTAGACATTAATCCAACAGTCTCCCACTTGGATAAGTCTAAAACTATTATTGCGTATGACTTCAGGAACCGATCAGCAATCGTAGCTCTCAAAAGCTTCTGTCGAACTCTGACCTTGTCGATGAACTCTGACCTTTATCAATGACTTGTCCATTAGATAAGGGATCATATATTCCTCCATTCTAGATATCATATGGACTGAGACATGGATTATCAATCATTCTCTCTGTCCATTTGTTGTTTCCCGATTTCCGATTCATGATGACTGACTGATTGAACAAATCAAATCAGTCCTGGCTTGGCCAAGCACTCACATGTATCATCTTTAAATCATCGAGGGGCCCACAGATATCGCTTTTATCCCGAAGGTAAAAGGAATGGATAAACTTCGACTCATATGGCTTGTTCTACTACTTGTTGAATCATACACAAAGGCATGTTTTATAACATCGAGTTACCAATGCGTTTTCGTGCAATCAATGTATAACCAACTCATAGTAACAACTCATATCTCTAGGTTTGAAGAATATAAGATATTATCGTCTCATGATCACTCGTGATAAAATCCATGAAGTGATTCAAATGAGCGCGGGTTGAATCCAATACTCAGAACTTATGAGCACTCATGAGTGTTGTAGCACCACTTTGTCCACCAACTTGGACCTCTACAAACCAACCCATGACAGTCTTGATTCATATCTACTTCCAACATATGACCGACTGTGGATGGTTTGAATAACTTAATCATTCAGGAAGAGCGACTTAGTTATTCTGGAAGTCAAAACATGCAAAGTGAAACACAAGAATAATGAATCAAATATGGTATCAAACCCTATGAATATAATAAACACTTTTATTATCACCATACTGATTACTCATTATTCATTGTTTCGGTTTTATCAACTTTATACTTGAATTTAAAACAATAGTTGTCCCATGCTCCAAGCATGTACACTATGTTTTCTAAACACTAGTCATGCCATACACCAAGTATGCATACTATGTTTGTCTATGATCTTTACTTTGTAAAATAGATCAATTGAACATCACTCCAATGATCCTCTTTTCACAGTCCCAAATCCTTACTGCAAATGCAAGAATTCCAAATTCATGCCATTTACCGAAATCTGTTAGATTCTAAACTTATATGCATTGATCCTCTTAATGATTATGCACGAAGTCAGAAAGACTTGACAACAATCATTACAGAGCATTCCAAAGGAGATCAGCTCCTTGGAAACATCCTTCTTTCATTAAGTTTCCTAATCTTACACAGATTGAATAATTTCTAACTTTGAAACATTTCCATATTCCATTTTGACTATCACTTCTGAACAAGAGTTGCCTCCTTACAGATTATGTCAATATGGTCCTTCCCAGAATTAACATTATACTTTCAACTGTCCTTGAGCAACCAATCTTTGGTAAACCTTAGATTGTCCTCGACAATTGCTTAATCATTTTAGTCATATCCAATTCTAGACCTTTTCCCTTCATAATGCCCCAGGCATTTGGAAAATTTTAGAAAGGATGAATATAGCACATGTAATCGATCCTATATCCGAAGCATATGGGACATGATTCATGATGTCTCACATAAAGACTAAACCAGTCTTTTGCTATAATATTTCCATTTCAATTTGCCAAGTTCTCAAAATTCAGATTATGAAAAGGGATGCCGTAATCATAATCGAATTTTAGAACGCAAATAATGGACCCATATATAGAATTTCCTTATGTTGAGCCATTCCAACATGAAATTCATATATATATCCTTGATTAAGTACGATTAAAATCTCAATCTAAGCTTTTAGAATTGAAATGAAGTATAATTTCCTCTCCCTTAATTATAGCAAAACAACTTTTCAACCCCTGAACTTTTGTTTTTCTATAATTAACATTGCTGACTTGCAATAGTAATCATAATTATCATGCTCCCACTAACATGATGATTATTAGCATAACACTTATGCTCCCACTAGATTTGACATATACTCAGAAATCAGCTGGACTTCTAGAAATCAATACTTTATTGACTTTCTTACCAAAGTTCAGATTTCTGATACTAGATGCTTTGATAAAACTTTATCCAAATCATACACCTTCCCTTAGATAGCACACTTTGTGTGTCTAAACAATTATGAAGAGGGATGCCGTAATCATAATGTTTAGAACTTTTTTCCACTTCTCACAAGTCCATGTTAGTGTGCCGGTTAACCACAAACGCTCCACTAACGACTTTGAGAATGCAAATATCACAATTGCTATCTATTTAAAATCTACTTAGTGAAAGTGTTTCCTCACCATCATTTTCATGAATCAGAGAGAAACCTTATGATACTTAGATTCTTATGGTGTATGAGTTCCTACCCATATGAATTTGTCAAAAAACCATAATCACAAGACAAGGTTAGTGACAAATCCAAACTCATATGGATTGAACTTGTGCAACCTTAAGTTCTTGCCACCTGGCAGCACAAGGGCCTGTCATTGCTTCCAAGTTGTTATGCAACCAATTGAGAACTCTCAGAACTCCTATGTAAAACCAACTTTAACTGGAATGGGCACAGAATATGTCAACACGATAGGTTACAAACCTCAAGTCATGTGCTAGTGAAGAACTTCAGGTTTTATTCTTGATTAGTTCTTGAGACTTTCAAGACCTTTAAGACTCCCACTGTCCTCTTGACATATAAGACTCCCTTGTCAAATATTCAAGAGATAGTGCGGATTCTTTATCAAGACTAACACTTTACACAATTGGCCTAAGTTGGTCTCTATTTTATCCAAAACCTCACAACTTACCAATTTCAAATGTACAAGAGTAGATAACCTTTTACTCTTACATTTGACTAGTATTAACAACCCCTCTTTAAGATATGTCACTCAAGTTACAATCTTGGAGTATGACTCTAAGAATTGTTTTGGAACGAAGTATGACTCATCTTTTTGATTTAACCATTTCAACAATTCATGACTCCTCTTCTTAGTCATAAGAATGCACTAAGATGACCTTAGAGGATCAATTGTGATATGGTATCTTAATCATTAAGATGATCATAAACATGATACTAAAGTACTCTCCCATCTTTTCAGATTTGAGAAACTTTTATCTTTCTGCCATACTTTGATTCTTCTTATTCGTTCTGTCACACATTGAAACTTCTCCAATGCTACAGACTTATACTTAAACTTATAAGTATAACCATATTTACTGAACTTAAGTAAATCATGACGACTAGTCTTCTTGATCTTCTGTGGTGTACTTGACCAGTGCACAAGAATGTGTACTCGATCCCTTAGTCCTTTTCCTTATTCACATAAGGAATTAGTCTTAATTTTCCAAGCTGAAAGTTCTCATTCATCATACTATACAACTTGCATGATTCCAAGTTTCGGTCCAATTGAACCTTGGGTGATGAGAATCTTTCCTTATTTGGTAATATTAGACACTACCACAACTGAAAGAATCAAATCCATTTTCCAATATTGTTATCAATGAAATCCAACTTTTCACAAATGCCATTGTAAGGATACTTAAAATAAATAAAATCAAAACCTTTTTCTTTTATTTTAAAACTTTGCGGAAAAACTTATCCTTACAATCCATATGAAAACCTTGTTGTTATCTATTCCTAAGCAATATAAATATCATAACTCTTAAGTAATAGCCCAAAATTCTGATCACCGAACCATACGATTGAAATCCATCTTCGCGATCAGAATCAGCATGTACTTAATAGAGTTAGACAATGGACTTTACCTAAAGTAGAGCCAAACTTATTGACTTTAACATCCTTAGGTAAATTTGGCAGCTTCGTAACCAATGCCCCTTCCTTTGGCAATAGTTACCTATGGACCCTTGATAATGGGACTATCTCAGACTTCGCCTCTCTCTTTACCATTGGGTCAACCGAGTTGACTATGGCGATCCCTTTCCATTGGGAAGAGAGAGCTTACTGGATATCCAATGTCATCATTGTCAATGTCCATAGCGTTTTAGGAGTTGATCTTAGCAAATAGATAAGATCATTAAGGGTCTTGTCTTAGTCTGTTTCATAGGATTCCCAAAAGAACTCACTATGTGACTTAGAAAGTAGTTGAGCCACCAACTTTCTCAAGACTTTGACACCCAACTCTCCCGGCTTATCAATATGTGACTACATCTCCAAGATGTGATCACACCTAGACCTTGCCTCGCCAATAGGGCTTGAGTGACCTTAAACTTTTTAGGAACTTGTGGGTTAGGGAGAATAATTGGAGGAGGTGAAAGAAGTATGATATCCATGGGACATCATCTTCATTTAGGAAAGCTTGTTTCAAGAGATTTGGGAAGATCATAAATGTCTAGACCATACATCTTTTTGGGAGATATTCAAGATAGTTGATTTAAAGTCCTTAATATGACACTCAATATGAAATATTAAGGCTAGGACCCAACAAACTATTTTATAACTTAGAAGAGGGATGCCGTAATCCAAGCTATAAAATATTTGAAGGTAGGTGAATGACGATTCACCAATTTCCACCATGAAAAACGAAATAATTTATTAGGTTTTAATTGGATTTAAAAGTCCTAGATCTTTGAGATTCATTGAACTGTTCAAAGGCATGTTTCAATCTCGAGTGTGCCCTTCAGGTTTTGTGACTGGGATGCCGAGGATCACAAAACAAGGTGTGAATAACCATGCAAATATACTTGGTACCCTTAATATTTACCCCTTAATCAGTGTGCCGGTTAACCACACACGCTCCACCGATACTATGATAAATATTAAGTTACCCTTTGCCTACCTTGTTAAGTCCAGGTTAGTGTGCCGGTTAACCACACATGCTCCACTAACGACTTAAGCAAAGTGCAAAGTGTAATTTCATGGGTTAGCACCAAATTCACATTTTCCTAAGTAACTAAGATTGGGTATTAATAAGAGTTTAGTTACTTAGTATTTATCATTAATACTTTTAATGAAAGGAGAATTATAGTCCTTGTCCTACCCGTTCGGCTAACGACCCTCACCAGTCAAGGAAGCGGTGGGTGAGAGTGGACACCCATTAAACTGCCATTTTATAGGCAGTAACCTTATACCCCCCTTATAGACCGGCTTCGTGAATGAGGCATATTAACGGTAAGACTGACTTTACTCTTATACATATATAAATATTATTAACTTATAATATTATAAAGTATAAGGGTTGAATTTTAACTTTTAAAATTCTAAGGCTAACTTGGAATTAAAGTATTCATAAGTGAAAACTTTTCAAATTCCAAAACTTGAGGGCAAGTTTTGAAACTATTCAAAACTAATTAATTCCATAACTTATGAGTTTAAAGTAGTTTTAATTAAAAAAAAAAACTCTTCAAGTTCCATAACTTGAGGACAAGTTATGGAAGACTTTAAAAACTAATTAAAAAAAAATAACTTTTTTTTTGTAACTTATGGAACTAATTAAGGTTACACTTTTTTTTTTAATTTAATGAAGAGACTCTTGAACCTCCATAACTTGAGGACAAGTTATGGAGTCATAAAACCATTTAATTAGAACTAGACTCTTCATTTTGTAACCTTTGCCAACTTTTATGAGTTTTATGATTCTTAAATGTGACTTTTCATATAACTTGAGGACAAGTTACAAAAACACACTTTGGAATCAACTCTTAGATTAAAATGGATTGAAAACAACTATTTCACACAACTTTTCTATTAATATAAGAACCTCATAAGAACAAGATAATTCAAATCATCAATCTTCAAGAAATTAGCATGAACATACAAACTAATACAAATTTTGAAATTATGACAATTATCTTAGAAATTGGATTAGCATGAACATTACCACATCAAAAACAAGTTTTTATAAGTCCAAAAACATCTTAGGGTAATGTTCCTAGTCCAATTCCAGCCAAAACAATCAAATATTGCATCCAACTCGATTTTTCAGCTACTTTGCAAGTATAACAAGAAAACAAGCCTAGGCTCTGATACCACTGTTGGGTTATGAGCATTCTAACACTCCTAAGTGTACATGCAACCCTAAATACCTTGGATCTATGTTTTCTCTATTATACATAGAATTATAAACATCCAAGGTATTATCCTAATCTAGCATACAAAATAATAAATATAACAAGATAGAATACATACCTCTTTGATGTAGAATGTCTTCATGAAGCTTGAGTGCCTAGTGCCCCAAGTGTGACACCTCAAATGGTTCACACAACACCAAATACACTTGGAATAACTTGAGAGAAACTTGAACACTCCTTGAAATCGTCTAGCCCTCACACTCACACATTAGTGCACGATTTCTTGAGCCATGGGATTCTTTTATATGGTGGCTATTAGGGTTACACCATGTAACTCATAACTTTACCCATTCCTTATGCTCCATGGATTTTAACCTCCATGGAGTATCCATGGGTCACCCCATGGACTTAGTCCAACATAAGGAATCTTGGATCACAAGCCCACATATATAAGAATGAATGATTTACACAATCAACCCATATTTAATTAGTCTCCTTTTGATCACTTAATTAATTCCAAATTAATTCTTGATCAATACTAATTAAATAACCTTATTAATATATTAGAACTTATAATATATTAACCAACCTTAAGTGTTATTTCTCTCATTATAGTCTATCCAAATGCATGATGCCATGCAACCCAAATGGACCATGCCGGGTCGGGTCAAGTCTTACCAATTATAGTTATGGACTTAGACATTAATCCAACAGGTTGCCCCATCTTTGACACTTGTATTTCATGTTGAACACCCTCTCCATCATATACATCCTCAACTCCTCCAACATGGTGATAATTGGTTTCTTCCTAGCATGAACTATCACAACATTAAAACTTTCTTAGATTCCATTCTCTACAGCATTAGAACATCTTCCTGGTTTGAAGTAGGCTCTTGACCATGTCTTGGTGTCTTTTTCCATTAGATATTAATGAGAATTTGGGTCTAGCAGTTCAAGTTCTTTCATGGAAGCCTTAAAATCTACCTCTGTAGTTGCTTTACATGCCTTCCAGAATATTCTTTCATATTGGGCACCACTACACCTTTTCCTTAAGTTTTGGCTAATATGCTTGGCACACTGCCATGCTTTACATATGGAAGGAGTTCTTTTACAGCCTCAATCAAACCCTGTTAACAAATGGAAATTATAGTGAATAAGGATGCAACTAGAAAGGGAAATTAATTACAAACAAGTAAATTACCTTGTGCTGATCTGATATAAAACTGTATCCATAGCCTAAGTTAAGTCCTAATTCATCAATGAGTAGATCCAAAAACCACTTCCAATTTTCCTTATTTTCCACACATACTACTGCCCATACGATGGGATAAATCCCATTATTTGCATCCCTTCCAACAACACATAACAACTCCCCTTTGCATATCCCTTTAAGGAAACAACCATATAAACATGTTATCTTCATGTATCCCTCCTTCCACCCTTTCTTCAATGCATCAAAGCAAACATAGAACTTACTAAATTAGTTCTTCCCATTTGGCATATGATTTACATCAAGCTTCACAGTGCTACTTGGATTTGATCTCTTAATCTCTTCTGCATAACCACAACTTTGCATAATGTTCAACTAGGGTACTATATATTACTTGGAGTGCATATTTCTTAGCTCTCCTGCATTGACCAACACTTATATAAATACCAAACTTTTATGACACAACAGTTCTAAGCTTTCTAACACTCATCTTTTTTCTAAGTAAGAAATCTCTTGTATAATGACTCCCTATCCAAGCATAATTGACCATTGACCCTAACTTGTAGTTCCTTGCACATTTGTGATTTGGCTTTAAAGACTTAATTTGGAAGCTTGATTAATCACTCATCCAAGTTGCCCACAACCTGAATGTGCACTCACCCTTGCAACACTTACCCAACAATCTTTTCCTATCATTTAACTCAAAGCAAAGTTGGTACCCATTGGTAACAAAATAGTTGCATAACATAGATTTTAATTGAGCTGGATCTTTGAATCTCATACCAAGTATTGGGTACTATTTTTTCCATGGAGTTGATTCATTAAAAATTGAATGTTATTGAGTTACATTTGCCTCCACTTCACCCCCATCAGCATCATCACCTATGTTATTATCATTTGCTTCTTCATCTTCACTAAATAATTCAGATAGAAAATCATCACCCTTTGTTATGTTCATAGTGTCTTCATCCTCATTAAAGTCCACCTCCACATCTCTATGGTTTTCAGTTTCGTCTTCATTTTCACCACCATCAATGCATGAATCATCACCATGTAACATCCGGTTTCTATAAGGTAAAACTTTTATAAATAATTCTTGAGTTTTGGTTGACCACGATGTGGTGAAGGCTCACCACGACGTGGCCATGCTAGAATGTTCATATGATTTTAAGAAGCCCCCACGACGTGGCATTTTTGGCCACGTCGTGGCGAGCAGCTGAAACGTTAAACCCTAGTTTATTGGGTATTTAAAGGAAAGAGGGAGGCTATGGTCCCCTCTCCCAGTCTCAATCACCCTTAAACCTCTAAGTTCATAACCCTAATCTTCTTTGAAACTTTTGAGCTCATTTGGGCCTTTGTGGGTGGTTTTTCGCTCCTTCCTGAAGAAGAAGACTCCATTGGTGTATTGTTTGGAGCAAGCAAGCTTCTTTCCATCATCTTGTGTTGTTGTTGGACCTTTGTAAGTTGTCAAGCTTCTACCTTTCTATTTCAAGGATGCTAGATCTAGGTTTTTGTTCTTATTTATTCATGTTGGGTTGAGTGGAATGCATGGAGTCCATAAAGTTGGAAACTTTATGGATTTGTAAGGTCCCCTTGCTATCATATGTTTCAGATCTGGAATTTAATGCTATTTTGAGTTCTATGCATGCTATTTTTAGTAGTATTGTTTCATTTTAACCTAAGTTGGGATCTATACTTGTTTTGGGCATGCATGTTTGAAAAAGAAATGATATTTGGAATATTTTAGACCTTAGTTTGGGCATTTTGAGCAGAAGTTTGAGACTAGGTCCTTGGTTGATGTATAGGTGACTTGTAGAGTCAGCAGTTGGAGTTGTGATCTGTTCAACTATGTTTTTAGCGGAATGAGGTAAGTCTCCTCACAGTACTTGCGGGTCGAAGGCGCCAATACCGGCCTATTGGATTATGTTATAGTATGCTAGTTGTCTTTGTGACGCTTAAATGTGTTGTCTATGTATGTATGTATGTCGGGCAAGGCCCGATGCCAGGCGAGGCCTGATAAATATACCGGGCGGGGCCTGATTCCGGCTGGGGCACGATGACGAGCGGGGACCAATGTATGTATGTATGTCGGGCGGGACCCGATACCGGATGGGGCCCGATGACGGGCGGGGCCCAATGTATGTATGCATCATATGTGTGATATGTTGTATTTTGGGGAACTCACTATGCTTTATGCTTAGGGTTTATGTTTATGGTTTTAGGTACTTCCGATTCGAAAGGGAAGGGCCCGGTGTGACTACACTGCATCCCCCAAAGTTTAATTCCGCATTGATAACTTTTACTCGAATGTTTAAATGATATTTTTATCTTGAATGGTTTTGTGAACAATTTGTTATATAAATTGTTGTTTTAAAAATGAAAACTTTACCTTGGATTTCGGGACATGCTCTCGGTGTGTCTGAACTACAAATGAGGATTTGGTAGATTTTACATAAAAAGAAATGTTTTTATTAAAGGATTTTCTAACAAAAATAAAGGCATGTGATGCGTGCAATCGACCGAGCCCAAGTAAGCGATTCCCAGAATACCCATACATGTTGATATGTTATTTGATATGAATGTTGGCATGCTAGATTAGGGCTAAGGATCTGCTCAGGATTTCATGCTAGGAGACATGCCTTTATATGCCTGATTGTTTAAGCTTTTGAAATTGCATGCTAGTATGTATTTCAGATGATTGGATGGATTGGCCTGATATGTAATGCCTTTTACCCTAAGAGGATCGAATGATATGCTAGAATTAGAATATGTAATGGTAGAAGTAATTGCTGAGTGTATGCTTTAAAAATTGTATATAGTTAGGATCATATAGCCCTAGAATGACTGATTTTGCCTTATTTCATGTTCTTCGTTTGGTTGTGGTCCTAGGGTAGAGTCTTTTATTCTACAGTCTATTTGATCATGTATTGTGTATAATTTGCATGCATAAGGAAACCGACAGTGAGAATGGAAGGTCCTAGCATGGGTTGTAGTATGTGAGATTCGGATGTTCTTTGTTGTTCTGTGGCTTGGAGTGTTACTGCATGAATGTTGCTTGCTTTGTGCTTTGTGGAACTCTTAGTGATGTAAGTTAACTATTAAGTGATTATGTTAAGTCGCATGTTGCAAAGGTTAAAGAATCTTAGAGTGATGGATTTGACTCTATTGCACAACTCTCGTTTGAGTCTAACCATTGTAGGGATGAGTCTTTTACTCGAAGGATTATCTAAGTTGTGTTGCATGTGATTGTATTCATGAAGTAGTTAACTCACACTATTAGGAGTTCTTCAGTAGCTGATGGCAGGGTGAGGTCGGGAACGTAGGAGCACATAGGAAGTTTTATAGCCGGTTTTTATGCGTTGTTCAGCGGGAATGTGGGGTACCATTTTGAGTAAGTGACATGGAGGATTCGATATAATTCCTTGAGGAAAGTATGGAGAGGTGTGGAAGGTAGTATTGGGTCCGTACTACTGAAAGCACATAATCCATAATCGAATCGAGGAGAGTCACAAAGAATCTAGGAAACCTATGGATTGAGGATTCTTGAGTATGTTCTAGTCATTTGTTTGATTTCTTTTCAGAATGGTGATGAGCATGCGTGGAGGAGGTTCAGGTTCTGGTTCAGGCTCTAGTGCAGGTGTTGAGCCGATTGATAAGTAGATGCGGGAGTTCATATAGTTAAAAGATCACCCACGGTATTTTGGAGCAGACTCATGTGATCTTCGGATTGGTCAACGAGGGGATTATGGAGATTTTGGATGAGTGTCTAGGTGCATTATGCACTGAGATTAAGGCTGTAGTGGGGCTCACACTCTTTCCTTCCATGAGTTTCGTGCTTGTGGAGCTCCCGATTTATTTAAGGAAAAGTACCCTATTTCTAGTAGAAGGTGGTTAGCGGTTATGGTGAACGCTTTCCAGACGAGTTTCTGCCCCTAGGGGTCAAATTTCAGGTGTTATTCATGTCTTATGCAATACAGAGCTCCAGATTGGTGGAAGGAGGTATATTTTGCTTTGGGAGGTGAAGTCATGGATACGATGACTTGGGATAAATTTGTGACCCAGTTTAGGGTAAAATTTGCACCATCTATTGAGGTAAAGCAGTTGGCGAGTGAGTTTCAGAACCTTTTCCAGACGACTGAGACTGTGGTGGAGACCACCACCAAGTTTAGGGAGTGGGCTCTTTTGGTTCCATAGTATGCCGCAGATGAGGATATAAATAAGAAAAGGTACCATGATATGTCGTGAGACGATATTAGGGAGTTTGTGAGCTTTTCAACTTGTCGAACTTTGGAGGACATGATTGTTAGAGCCCGAGAGCGATGTAACACTCCAAATCAGGTAACCATTTTATTCCTTTAAATGAGTTAGTTTTGCAAAAATGACCCCTTCTTGTACGTTGGGCGTACTTAAGTGTACGCTTGGCGTACTATGGAGGAAGGATCGTGAAGGAATATCGAGTATGCGGGGCGTACACGATGGACAACCAAACCCTAATTTTCGGACTTGAGGCATATTTAAGCATCCTTAAGTCATTGAGGCTAAACCCTAGCCAGCCTCTATAGCCTCATTTTGTCCCTTAACGTCATATTATCTTATGTGTGTGGTTCTTGAGCTTAAAAGTGTGTTGATGGCCATTTTAGAGATCATTCAAGAAGGAGAAGGTAGCGATCAAGGTTTTTGTGGCATTAAGCTTCTAGATCCTGCATCTAGTTCATCTTGAGGAGCTTCTGGAGGTATAAGTCTTAATCTTGCCATCGTATTCATTAGATTGAGCTAGGGTTTGCTATATTGTCCTTTTTTGAGTTCATAAGTCACCTCTTGGGAGTTGGAGCAACTCCAGAGCTTAGGAAGAGTATATCTAAGGTCCTTTAGCGTGTTCATATCATAAAATAAAGACTTGTTGGTTTTTTTGACCTCATGCATGAGTTAAGACCCTTGGAAAGGTCTTAATGGGTTGTAAAGGGTTGTTGGGAGCATATGGAGCATGCAAAGGCATAAAGTTGCCAACTTTATGCCTTAGGACTCTTCAAACGACCTAAATATGAGTTTGGGATGTGAAGTCTTCATGCATTAAGCACTTAATGAAGAATATGCATAACCTGTTTGTATGTGGTGTGTAACAAGTTGTACGCTGGGCGTACAGGGGCATGGTCAGTATGCTGAGTGTACTAGAGTGGTACGTAGGGCATACGCACTCCAGTTGGGCTTTGGGGCTTTTTATTGGCTTGTAGGTTTAGTGTGCTTTAGTCAGTATTGGGACAGGTCCCATTTTAGAGTTATGGGCTAATATTCTGAATTGGGTCATGTGGCCCATTAATAGCTTTGGTCATGGACCTTGGGCCCATTAGTAAAGGGAAGACTATTGGCCCATTATGGAAGGACTTGGGCTTAGGTATATGGACTCTTTAATTAGATTGTGTTTAATCCTAATTTAGGGTTAATTGTATTATTTTTTGGTGCATGTGGTTTCGGACTGTTAGGCGAGCAGCTTTCGTGTTCAGCAGACTGAGGTGAGTCTCCTCACCATACCAATGGGTCGAAGGGGCCAAGGTCGGCCCATGTTTGTTATGCAGTTGTTGTGGTTATATGTGGATGTGTTAGTATGGTATTATGTATTTATGTGAATACCATGGGGGGAGCCCATGGCAAGTAGTTAAGACCTTGGGGGGAGCCCATGACACATAGGGACCTTGGGGAGGAGCCCACGACATCCTAGAGTAAGACCAAGGAGGGAGTCCATGACATTCCTATATGTTTGTATCAACGACTTATGATGTTATATGGACTTATGTGATTTTGTGGATTTATGTGGGGTATGTTATGGGGAACTCACTAAGCATTAATTTACAGTTTGTTGATTGTTTCAGGTACTTCGGGATCTAAGGGCAAGGGCCCGACATGATGACGCTGCACGCACTCTCCATTACTTTATGGGCACTCTGATTTTGGAATAATTACTTGTTGTTTGGGATTTTGAGAAACAATTGTGTTTGAAATTATAATTAATGAATATGGGTATTGTTATTTAAATAAAAAAAATTTATTTGAAAATTTGGGTCG